TCACTCGCTCTCGCTCGCTCTCACTCGCTCTCTCTCGCTCTCACTCGCTCGCTCGCTCTCTCGTTCGCTCTCACTCGCTCGCTCGCTCTCACTCGCTCTCTCTCACTCTCACTCGCTCGCTCGCTCTCTCTCGCTCTCACTCGCTCGCTCGCACTCGCTCGCTCGCTCTCACTCACTCGCTCACATACCACCACTCGCTCGCTCACATACCACCACTCGCTCGCTCACATACCACCACTCGCTCGCTCGCTCTCACTCTCTCGCTCGCTCGCTCTCACACACTCGCTCGCTCTCACACACTCGCTCACATACCACCACTCGCTCGCTCGCTCTCACTCTCTCGCTCGCTCTCACTCTCTCGCTCACTCGCTTTCACACACTCGCTCGCTCTCACACACTCGTCACTCTCGCTCGCCTCGCTCTCACACGCTCGCTCACATACACCACTCGCTCGCTCGCTCGCTCTCACTCTCTCGCTCGCTCTCACTCTCTCGCTCACTCTCACTCTCTCGCTCGCTCTCACTCTCTCGCTCGCTCTCACTCTCTCGCTCACTCGCTCTCACACACTCGCTCGCTCTCACACACTCGTTCACTCTCGCTCGCTCGCTCTCACACGCTCGCTCACATACCACCACTCGCTCGCTCGCTCGCTCTCACTCTCTCGCTCACTCGCTTTCACACACTCGCTCGCTCTCACACACTCGTTCGCTCTCGCTCGCTCGCTCTCACACGCTCGCTCACATACCACCACTCGCTCGCTCGCTCTCACTCTCTCGCTCGCTCGCTCTCACTCTCTCGCTCGCTCTCACTCTCTCGCTCGCTCTCACTCGCTCGCTCGCTCGCTCTCACTCTCTCACTCTCACTCGCTCGCACTCACTCGCTCGCTCTCACTCGCTTGCTCTCACTCGCTCACTCTCACTCGCTCGTTCTCACACACTCGCTCACATACCTCCACTCACTCGCTCACCACCACTCGCTCGCTCTCTCACAGCCCATCGGTCACTCGATCTCTCACAGCCCACCACTCACTCGCGTGTGTGTACTGGGTTGTATATGCGTGTGTGTGTGTACTGGGTTGTGTGTATATGTGTGTGAGTGTACTGGGTTGTGTGTATATGTGTGTGTATGTGTACTGGGTTGTGTGTATATGTGTGTGAGTGTACTGGGTTGTGTGTATATGTGTACTGGGTTGTGTGTATATGCGTGTGAGTGTACTGGTTTGTGTGTATATGCTTGTGTGTGTACTGGTTTGTGTGTATATGCGTGTGTGTGTACTGGTTTGTGTGTATATGCGTGTGTGTGTGTACTGGTTTGTGTGTATATGCGTGTGTGTGTACTGGGTTGTGTGTATATGCGTGTGTGTACTGGTTTGTGTGTATATGCGTGTGTGTACTGGTTTGTGTGTATATGCGTGTGTGTACTGGTTTGTGTGTATATGCGTGTGTGTACTGGTTTGTGTGTATATGCGTGTGTGTACTGGTTTGTGTGTATATGCGTGTGTGTGTACTGGTTTGTGTGTATATGCGTGTGTGTGTACTGGTTTGTGTGTGTATGCGCGTGTGTGTACTGGTTTGTGTGTATATGCGCGTGTGTGTACTGGTTTGTGTGTATATGCGCGTGTGTGTACTGGTTTGTGTGTATGTGCGTGTGTGTACTGGTTTGTGTGTATATGCGTGTGTGTGTACTGGTTTGTGTGTATATGCGTGTGTGTGTACTGGTTTGTGTGTATATGCGTGTGTGTGTACTGGTTTGTGTGTATATGCGTGTGTGTGTACTGGTTTGTGTGTATATGCGTGTGTGTGTACTGGTTTGTGTGTATATGCGTGTGTGTGTACTGGTTTGTGTGTATATGCGTGTGTGTGTACTGGTTTGTGTGTATATGCGTGGTGTGTACTGGTTTGTGTGTATATGCGTGTGTGTGTACTGGTTTGTGTGTATATGCGGTGTGTGTACTGGTTTGTGTGTATATGCGCGTGTGTGTACTGGTTTGTGTGTATATGCGCGTGTGTGTACTGGTTTGTGTGTATATGCGCGTGTGTGTACTGGTTTGTGTGTATATGCGCGTGTGTGTACTGGTTTGTGTGTATATGCGCGTGTGTGTACTGGTTTGTGTGTATATGCGCGTGTGTGTACTGGTTTGTGTGTATATGCGCGTGTGTGTACTGGTTTGTGTGTATATGCGCGTGTGTGTACTGGTTTGTGTGTATATGCGCGTGTGTGTACTGGTTTGTGTGTATATGCGCGTGTGTGTACTGGTTTGTGTGTATATGCGCGTGTGTGTACTGGTTTGTGTGTATATGCGCGTGTGTGTACTGGTTTGTGTGTATATGCGCGTGTGTGTACTGGTTTGTGTGTATATGCGCGTGTGTGTACTGGTTTGTGTGTATATGCGCGTGTGTGTACTGGTTTGTGTGTATATGCGCTGTGTGTGTACTGGTTTGTGTGTATATGCGTGTGTGTACTGGTTTGTGTGTATATGCTTGTGTGTACTGGTTTGTGTGTATATGCGTGTGTGTACTGGTTTGTGTGTATATGCGTGTGTGTGTACTGGTTTGTGTGTATATGCGTGTGTGTACTGGTTTGTGTGTATATGCGTGTGTGTACTGGTTTGTGTGTATATGCGCGTGTGTGTACTGGTTTGTGTGTATATGCGCGTGTGTGTACTGGTTTGTGTGTATATGCGCGTGTGTGTACTGGTTTGTGTGTATATGCGTGTGTGTACTGGTTTGTGTGTATATGCGTGTGTGTACTGGTTTGTGTGTATATGCGTGTGTGTACTGGTTTGTGTGTATATGCGTGTGTGTGTACTGGTTTGTGTGTATATGCGTGTGTGTGTACTGGTTTGTGTGTATATGCGTGTGTGTGTACTGGTTTGTGTGTATATGCGTGTGTGTGTACTGGTTTGTGTGTATATGCGCGTGTGTGTACTGGTTTGTGTGTATATGCGCGTGTGTGTACTGGTTTGTGTGTATATGCGCGTGTGTGTACTGGTTTGTGTGTATATGCGCGTGTGTGTACTGGTTTGTGTGTATATGCGCGTGTGTGTACTGGTTTGTGTGTATATGCGCGTGTGTGTACTGGTTTGTGTGTATATGCGTGTGTGTGTACTGGTTTGTGTGTATATGCGTGTGTGTGTACTGGTTTGTGTGTATATGCGTGTGTGTACTGGTTTGTGTGTATATGCGTGTGTGTGTACTGGTTTGTGTGTATATGCGTGTGTGTGTACTGGTTTGTGTGTATATGCGTGTGTGGTGCGTCCCCCGGGGATCATCTCACTCGGTCGACCCATGGCACGTGGCTCTATCCTCCGACCTCCCAGCAGCAGCGAGCCTTCCACACTTGACGTGATGGCCTCAAAGTGCACCTAGCCTGGCACGAGCGCCGTGGTGATGTCACCGTCAGTGTCTATTAGCAGCTGCTGTTGTTGCTGTTGTCTCTTTGTGAGCGGTGGTGCAGCGGTTAGCGCTACGCTGCGCTACGAACCCGACGACCCGAGTTCGATTCCCGCTCACGGCCAACACCAGTGACGATTATCTGAACCGGTCCTGGGCCTCCCGTAGGTCGACTCAGCCTCAAATAAGTACCTGGTGCGGTGCGTAGTAAACATCGCCACTGGGGAGACAAAGGCGGCCGGGCGTGGTGATGGCCTCCCACCACCTCGTGTGCCACAGTACTGGTAGCCTTCACAGGCGCTGCTCGCTAACAGCACTTGCCCCAACAGTCTGTTAAGGCTACACGGGGGACCTTTGTCTTGTGTGTGTGATGCAGCTGGGATGCTGAGCAGGAAACAGAATGTGTTTGACGACTTCGTGTCGGCGGCCGAGTTCCTGATCGCGGAGAAATACACGCGGCCGGACAAACTCATCATCCAGGGCGCGTCCAACGGCGGCCTGCTCGTGGGTACGCACGCACGCACACGCATGAATGCCGGCACGGAGCGGCGTGTGTGTGCGCATTGCGGCCGTGTGTGTTCATGTGTTTGTTAATTTTTACTCGTGCGTGTGCGCATGCGTAGCGGTGTGTGTATATGTTAATGTACACATGTGCGTGCGTGTGCGCCTAGTGTGTTAACGTACGCGTGTAAATGCGTGCGTGCGCGTAGCGGTGTGTGTATATGTTAATGTACACGTGTGCGTGTGTGTGCGCGTGCGCCTAGTGTGTTAACGTGCGCATGTAAATGCGTGCGCGTAGCGGTGTGTGTATATGTTAATGTACACGTGTGCGTGTGTGTGCGCGTGCGCCTAGTGTGTTAACGTGCGCGTGTAAATGCGTGCGTGCGTGTGCGTAGCGGCGTGCGTGAACCAGCGTCCCGAGCTGTTTGGCTGTGCGCTGGCCGAAGTGGGTGTGATGGACATGCTCAAGTTCCACACCTTCACCATCGGGCACGCCTGGACCACCGAGTACGGCAGCGCCGACGACCGCGAGCAGTTCCAGTGGCTCATCAAGTGAGCGCCAGCGCGGTCACACACTCACACTCACTCGTACATTCATACACTCATACACACACTCATCTACACACACACACTCACCCACACTCACTCACTCACCCACTCACACACCACTCACTCATACACACACTCACCCACTCACCCACCCACACTCATCCACTCACCCACTCACCCACACTCACTCACTCACTCACCCACACTCACTCACTCACCCACTCACTCATCCACTCACCCACACACACACTCATTCACTCATCCGCCCACAAACCCACGCACCCACGCACCCACACACTCACCCACGCACCCACCCACGCACCCACCCACGCACCCGCATACCCACCCGCTCGCCCGCCCACCCACCCGCTCGCCCGTCCACCCACACACCCACACAAAGCCTTAACAGACTGTAGGGGCAAGTGCTGTTAGCGAGCACCTATGAAGGCCGGCACGGCACACGAGGTAGTGGGTGGCCAACACCACGCCCGGCCGCCTTTGTCTCCCCAGTGGCGATGTTTACACACCGCACCGGGTACTCATTTGAGGCTGAGTCGACCTAGGGGAGACCCAGGACCGGTTCATATAATCGTCACCGGTGTTGGCCGTGAGCGGGAATCGAACTCGGGTCGCCGGGTTCATAGCGCAGCGTAGCGCTAACCGCTACACCACCGCTCCCCATATACACGGGTACACGCGCACGCAGAGAGACGTAGACCAGTGTTGCGTGTTGAACTTCTTTCGCACCGTACGTAGCCAACCGCGCTGACGCACTCCGGTGCCCCCCTCCTCCCCCCCGGTGCCCCCCTTCCGTGCCCCCCTCCCCCCCGGTGCCCCCCCCGCCCCCCGCAGGTACTCCCCGCTCCACAACGTGCGAGCGACTGCGCGCTACCCGGCCATGCTGCTGCTCACGGCCGACCACGACGACCGCGTGTCCCCCCTGCACTCGCTCAAGCTGCTCGCGACGCTGCAGGCCGCCGCCGCCACCGCCGACGACGCCGCCGACGCCGCCGGTGGCGGCGGCGTTGCCGGGCGTGCGCCGCAGCCCATCCTGCTGCGGTGCGACACCAAGGCCGGCCACGGCTCGGGGAAGCCCACGGCCAAAGTGATCGCGGAGGCGGCCGACGCGTTCTCGTTTGCGGCGCGGGCGCTCGGCCTGAGCTGGCGCGAGTGACGGTGCCGGCGGTGACGGCGGTGACGGTGGGAGAGGAACGGAGAGGAGGGGGAGGGGGTAGAGAGAGAGGTGGGAAGTTCCCCCTGTGCATGCCCACGGCCGCTGCGTTCCCCTCCGTAGGTGTTGGGGAGAGGGGTTGATGGGACAGTGGTGCTGTCGGGGACGCGTGGGGGACCACAAACTCGTGACCGAACCACAGTCCCAGACCCCCCCCTGCCCCCCCCGCACCTCCCTACCCCTCCCCCGGCCCCCCACCCAGTCGCAGCCAATTCCGTTTGCGAAACCAGTGCCCCACTCGGCGTGGCAGCTCCCGCCGTGCGTCATACCGTGCGTCATACTGTGTCACACTGCGTGTCACAACTGTGTCACCGTGTGTCACACCGTGTGTCACATTGCGCGTCACACTGCGTGTCACACTGCGTGTCACACCGCGTGTCACACCGTGTGTCACACCGTGTGTCAAACTGCGTGTCACACCGCGTGTCACACCGTGTGTCACACCATGTGTCACACCACGTGTGTCACACCGCGTGTCACACCGCGTGTCACACCGCGTGTGTCACACCGCGTGTCACACTGCGCATCACACCGTGTGTCACACTGCGTGTTACACTGCGTGTCACACTGCGTGTCACAACTGTGTCATAACTGTGTCACTGCATCACACCACGTGTCACACCGTGCGTCACACCGTGCGTCACACCGTGCGTCACACTGCGCGTCACACTGCGTGTCACACTGCGTGTCACACCGTGTGTCACACTGTCATAACTGTGTCACTGTGCATCACACCACGTGTCACACCGTGTGTCACACCGTGCGTCACACCGTGCGTCACACCGTGCGTCACACCGTGCGTCACACCGTGCGTCACACCGTGCGTCACACCGTGCGTCACACCGTGCGTCACACCGTGCGTCACACCGTGCGTCACACCGTGCGTCACACCGTGCGTCACACCGCGCGTCACACCGCGCGTCACACCGCGCGTGGACGTGGGGGGAGGAGGGTTATGATTCTCTGGGGAGGCCTGTGACCCCTTGGCCCAGTGGTCCCGTGTTTCAGTGGCCCCAGCGGCCCCGTGACCCCAGCGGCCCCGTGACCCCGCGGCCCCGTGACCCCAGCGGTCCTGTGACCCCGCGGCCCCGTGACCCCAGCGGCCCCGTGACCCCAGCGGCTCCGCGTCTTTGCGGCCGCGTGACCCGGCGCCGAGCGCGATCGGCTCCCGCGTTGACCGATGCCCAAATCAGTTTTGCCAATTTTACCGTGAAAACGGGGACGGTGGCCGCGGCGGGGGATGGGGGTGGAGTTGTCGTGTCGTCGCTGTCAATTTATCGAACAAAATTGAGTTTACTACTTCAACTAATAATAATAATGTCATCGTAACACTTGGGGCACAGGTGTGGCGAGTTCTTTTTGTCCAAAACGCGACTCGCTTTCATCGTCACCATTGGAGGTGGCTCCACCCTATCCACCCTCTCCACCACTGGAAGTCGCTCCACCCTCTCCACCATTGGAGGTCACTCCACCCTCTCCATCCTCTCCACCACTGGAGGTCTCTCCACCCTATCCACCCTCTCCACCACTGGAGCCCTCTCCACCCTCTCCACCCTCTCCACCACTGAAGGTCTCTCCACCCTCTCCACCACTAAAGGTCGCTCCACCCTCCCGGCCCCACGTGTTTAGATCAGAACCCAGCCAGGATCGGTTGAAGTTAAGAAAGAAGCACACTTTATTGATGACGCAGCGATGGGTTTTCTTGTTGTACAGCCGTCGGCAGCGGGGCTGAGACATGGGGTCTCCCTACACGCGACAACGTGGTCCAAGCACGGCCCAGTTCCACTCGGTGTGTGAGGAGTCCGTGGATCTCCACGCGAGTCCCTGGGTCCCCGGCGTTGATCCGGGGCTCTCCGCTCGAGGAGTCCGTGGGGGTCTCTGGTGCGAGTCGCTGGTGACGCCATGAACTTTGTGAGAACCCGCTGTGATCGCTGTGGTTGGGCGGCTGGAGCCCGGGATGCAAACCCAGGGGTCGGGGTGGTGTGCCCGGGTCTCTGCTACTCGTCTGTCGGGCTCCCAACAGCCCCAGCTGCCACTGCAGACACACACACACACATAGACACATACACACAGACACACACATGCATACAGACACACACACGCATACAGACACACACACACGCACACAGACACACACACGAACAAAGACACACACACAAACGACACACGCATACAGACACACACACATACGCGCACACGGGCGGATTATGAATTTACATGCAGAATGCTTTGTTTCATTCACACTGTTCAACCATCACACTGCACGTCACAACAACGCACTCGCTCACCCACTCACGACTCTTCCACTTGCTCACCTACTCGCTCACCCACTCGCTCACCCATCACTACACTCACCTACTCGCTCACCTACTCGCTCACCCACTCGCTCACCCATCACTACACTTGCGCACTCGCTCACCCACTCACGACTCTTCCACTCGCTCACCTACTCGCTCACCCACTCACCCATCGCTACACTCACCTAATCGCCCACCCACTCACGACTCTTCCACTCGCTCACCCACTCGCTCACCCATCACTACACTCACCTACTCGCTCACCCATCACTACACTCACCTACTCGCTCACCCACTCGCGACTCTACCACTCGCTCACCCATCGCTACACTCACCTACTCGCTCACCCACTCAAGACTCTTCCACTCGCTCACCTACTCGCTCACCCACTCACCCATCGCTACACTTGCGCACTCGCTCACCCACTCACGACTCTTCCACTCGCTCAACTACTCGCTCACCCACTCACCCATCGCTACACTCACCTAATCGCCCACCCACTCACGACTCTTCCACTCGCTCACCCACTTGCTCACCCACTTGCTCACCCATCGCTACACTCACCTACTCGCTCACGACTCTTCCACTCGCTCACCCACTTGCTCACCCATCGCTACACAACTACACACTCACGACTCTTCCACTCGCTCACCTACTCGCTCACCCATCGCTACACTCACCTAATCGCCCACCCATTCAATTGCCACGCTGCACGTCACAACAACCCACTCGCGCAAGTGGGTGGGTGGCCAGCACCACGCCCGGCCGCCTTTGTCTCCCCAGTGACGATGTTTACACACCGCACCAGGTACTCATGAGGCTGAGTCGACCTAGGAGAGGTCCAGGACCGGTTTAGATCATTGTTGGCCGTGAGCGGAAATCGAACTCTGGTGGTTGGGTTCGTACCGAAGCGTAGCGCTAACCACGACACCACCGTACACACAAACACACAAACACCTCTCACAGTCACACTTGTGCCAAAACACGCCTCACAAACACTGAAACCCTCACAAACACCCCGGCACACTCGTGCACAAACACCCGCCATCACTCGGCTGTCGTCACGAGTTTTGACGTTCACGTGTTTTGAGTTAAGTCACGTGTCGTGTCGTGCCGCTCGCGGTACCGCAGGCGAGCTGCTAGTCGTGCCGTGCCACTAGTCACCCTGCTAGTCACCCCGCTAGTCACCCTGCGAGTCACCCCGCGAGCCGCATCGTGCCACTAGTCACCCCGCGAGCCGCGTAGTGCCACTAGTCGCGCCCCCAGTGGTACCGCAGGCAAGCTGCTAGTCATGCCGTGCCGCTAGTCACCCCGCGAGCCGCATGGTGCCACTAGTCACCCCGCTAGTCACCCCCCTAGTCACCCCGCCAGTGGCGCCCCCGGTGGTACCGCAAGCGAGCAGGACGGCGACGAGCATGAGCATGGCGCCCAGGGCGGGCGCCCACTGCTGCAGCGCCTCGGGGTCCCAGTCCCCCGGCTGGAACCCAGGCAGCAGCGCAAGAGCCTGGCTCCCTCCTGCGCGCGGGGGTCACGCGGGGGTCACGCGGGGGTCACGGGGGGGGAGGGGGACGCGTCACGGACCCCTCGGGGTTCGAGGCCGGGGTCTGGGTGCCCCGTCTCCCGAGAGGGTTCACAGAAGGCCGCGTCAAGAGCTCGCGCTGCCGACATCCTTTGTGGGGCTGGGCACAACTGACGCAATCAGCGAGCCAACTGGGCAGCCACAGGCTCTGTTACTGCCTGGGGCTCGTAGAGCCAGAGCCAGGCACGCTGAGGGTTGTCATGGTCACTGTTACTGCCTGGGGCTCGTAGAGCCAGGCACGCTGAGGGTTGTCATGGTCAATGTTACTGCCTGGGACTCATAGAGCCAGGCACGCTGAGGGTTGTCATGGTCACTGTTACTGCCTGGGACTCACAGAGCCAGGCACGCTGAGGGTTGTCATGGTCAATGTTACTGCCTGGGGCTCATAGAGCCAGGCACGCTGAGGGTTGTCATGGTCAATGTTACTGCCTGGGGCTCACAGAGCCAGGCACGCTGAGGGTTGTCATGGTCACTGTTACTGCCTGGGGCTCATAGAGCCAGGCACGCTGAGGGTTGCCATGGTCACTGTTACTGCCTGGGGCTCACAGAGCCAGGCACGCTGAGGGTTGTCATGGTCACTGTTACTGCCTGGGGCTCATAGAGCCAGGCACGCTGAGGGTTGTCATGGTCACTGTTACTGCCTGGGACTCACAGAGCCAGGCACGCTGAGGGTTGCCATGGTCACTGTTACTGCCTGGGACTCACAGAGCCAGGCACGCTGAGGGTTGTCATGGTCAATGTTACTGCCTGGGCTCATAGAGCCAGGCACGCTGAGGGTTGTCATGGTCAATGTTACTGCCTGGGGCTCACAGAGCCAGGCACGCTGAGGGTTGTCATGGTCACTGTTACTGCCTGGGGCTCATAGAGCCAGGCACGCTGAGGGTTGCCATGGTCACTGTTACTGCCTGGGGCTCACAGAGCCAGGCACGCTGAGGGTTGCCATGGTCACTGTTACTGCCTGGGGCTCATAGAGCCAGGCACGCTGAGGGTTGCCATGGTCACTGTTACTGCCTGGGACTCACAGAGCCAGGCACGCTGAGGGTTGTCATGGTCACTGTTACTGCCTGGGACTCATAGAGCCAGGCACGCTGAGGGTTGTCATGGTCACTGTTACTGCCTGGGACTCACAGAGCCAGGCACGCTGAGGGTTGCCATGGTCACTGTTACTGCCTGAGGCTCACAGAGCCAGACCCAGCCACGCTGAGGGTTGTCATAGCCACAGGTAAGAGATGCTTGGCGTCGCCCAAATCGCAACTTATTTCCCCAGGGAAGCCTCGCTCAGTCGCACGATTGCTTTATTTTAATTAATCAATTAGGATCACACGAAGCAGCAGCAGCAGCAGCGTCCACCAAATCTGGCAGGCCGCTCCAGAAAGGGAGTCCTGAGGCTCTGCGAGGCTTGCCCGGGTAACGGAGCACAACAACAATAATCCTAAATTTCGATGTAAAGCTTTCGTGACTGCAGGGATTAATCTTCTTGGTTCTTTCGGTAAAGTCACGAAGGGAAATAACAAAATAATAAAAATATACAATTCTCACGTTTCGGCCACAACGCAAGCAGCCGTCCTCAGGTGAAGACCAGGTCTGTCGGGGAGACAGCGCTGTCTTCCCCACAGACCTGGTCTAAACATCGTGAGAATTATTTTATTATGTTTTATTTTTATTATTTTATTACTTCCTTTTTACATGACTTTACCGAAAGAACCAAGAAGAACAATAATCCTGTTCGGCTGTGGCTTGGCCTGGCCTCGAGCAGGCCCCGCTGCTTTACCTGCGAGGGACGAACACGCGACGAACGCGCCGAGCATCTTGCCTCCAGCCTGAGCAACGCCGCGGTGACGTCACTGTGACGTCACTGTCCGAAGTGACGTCACTAAGAGCAGTGACGTCACGGCGACTGGTCACGTGCGCCGTGATGTCACAATGGTTGTGGCGTCCAGGCACTGACACTGCGGCATTGAACTTTGACTGGCACCCATCGCCACGGTGCAACATTCCAACATAACCCACTCACAGCCACTATGGCGTCATCACCTATTGACATTTTACTGGTAGGAATCACATCTTTCCACCAGCCCACAGGGGATTATTGTGTCCGTCCGTCGTGCACCCACCACCATCCCCACCCACCACCAACCACCTCCACCATCATCAACCAACTCCACCATCCCCACCCACCACCAACCACCTCCACCATCATCACCATCATCATCAACCAACTCCACCATCACCACCAACCACCTCCACCATCCCCACCCACCACCATCACCACCATCATCAGCATCACCACCAACCACCTCCACCATCATCAACCAACTCCACCATCCCCACCCACCACCATCACCTCCACCATCCCCACCATCACCTCCACCATCCCCACCTACCACCATTACTACCAACCACCTCCACCATCACCATCATCAACCAACTCCACCATCCCCACCCACCACCATCACCACCAACCACCTCCACCATCGCCTGTCCCGCCCGTCCCACCCCCCCGTGCCTCAGTGTGGCGGTATGCTCGTGGCCGCGTGGCCGCCGGGCCCTCCCGCGTGGCCGTCGAGCGCCAGCGGGTAGTTGGAGAAGCAGCGGAACTCGTTGGCGAGGCTGTGCTGGTGCCGCGGCACGAAGCGGCAGGGGCGCACGCCCAGTTCGCGGGACGCCACGTCGCCCATCACCGCTCCTGCGGGACGCGCGCACAGCGGGGGATCCGTGTGTGTGCGTGTGTGAGTGAGTGTGTATATGTTCAAGTGTGTGTAAGTATGTGTGAGTGAGTATCTGTATGTGAGTGTGAATGCGAGTGCGTTAGTGTGTGTGAGCATCTCAGTCGACCCGTGGCACCTGGGTCTGCCTCGTGACCTGCCAGCGGGCGTTCGACACTTCACGTGGCCTCAAGGTCCACATGGCCTGGCACAAGCGTCGTCGTGACGTCACCGCCACTTAGTGGCGAATGGCGGTTGTTGTGTGAAGGTGTGTAGGTGTGTGTGCGTGCGTGTGTGTGCACACACATGCCTGTGCACAGCACGATCTTGTCCCTGGCCAGGAAGCGTGCGGTCACCGCCACCTTCTCCAGACACTCGGCCGAGAGGTACGGCGGGTCCAGCAGCACCAGCGAGAAGCCGTGCTCGTCCAGCGGCGGAGAGGACGAGTAGGAGCCGGCCCCCCCTCCTCCTCCTCCTCGTGCCCCCCCCGCGAGGTCGAGCGGACTCCGATAGTCGTAACGAACAAACGAGTCCCCGGCCAGAGCCGCGAATCTCTCGTCAAACTCCAGCAGCACGTCCCGCACCGCCGCCGGCACCGCCGCTCGCGGGCCCCCCGGGGCGTCCTGCGGTCGGACGCGACACGGAGGTCGGGGTGGAGGTGTCCTTTGTCCACCTCCGCAAGTCGGCCCGGGGAGGGGGGGGCAGCTCACGCGGAACGACATAGCGGGGTCCCTCCCCCCCCTTTCCCTCGAGCCCCCCGGTTAGCAACGTACAGTGCGAAAGACGTTCAACATACACACGCACATATATACCTGGGGGG